GTTTCTCTGGGCAAAGGAACTGAGCTGTAAGATGTCTGCTGCCCAATCCCGAGAACAGCTCGAGGACAACAGCTGTGTCACTTACAGCCCACATTTCAGTCACTTTCAACCCTGTGGAAACAGGTATGACTGCCATTATCACAAATGAAAACACTGGACGAAGTGAATCAGCTTCCCACTGCAGACATTCTCTTTTTTGTTGGAGACAGGGTCTCTCTGTGTGGCCCTGGCTGTCCTGGAACTGGATGGATAGACCAGGCTGGCCCAAACTCACAGGTATCCTGCCTGCTTGCCTCTAACTAAGTGCTGGGATTAAAGATTTAAAGGTGCCACACCATTTGGCCCCCATCCTAGGCATTTAACCCCAGAAACTTCTGAACAATTAAGCAAGTGCTTCAGATAATGTGTTTTAATTAGGCTTACTATCTCTAGAGGGGGAAAAACGTTTTTTTTTTTTTTTAAAGAATTGTTCCTGGGAGCTGGGGAGATGGCTCAAACACTTAAAAGATTTGTTTTGACGGGCGGCTCATGCCTTTAATCCCAGCACTTGGGAGGCGGAGCAAGGCAGATCTCTGTGAGGCCAGCCTGGTCTACAGAGTGAGTTCCAGAACAGGCTCCAAAGCTACACAGAGTAAACCTGTCTCGGAGGGAGGGAGGGAGGGAGGGAGGGAAAGAAAAAGCATTTGTTGTATTAATTATGTATATGTAGGGTGTGTGCACAAGTGTGAGGGTGCCCAAAGGGGCTGCCAGGAGTGGGTGTTGGATCTCTTGAAGCTTGAGTTATTACAGTTGGTTGCAGGTCACCTGACATGGAAGTTGTGATCCCAATTTAGGCCTTCAGCTACAGCAGCAAGCAAACCAACTCTATGGCCCTGAGCACATATTTCTAAAGCAATAGCTATGGACTTGGCATGGAAAGTTAATGGTTCTCAAAGCAGCCTTAGGAAGTTGGGACTAGACAGATGGCTCAGTGGTTAAGAGTACTGGCTGCACTATATTAAACATTGAGGTTAGACAGTGGTAGTACATGACTTTAATCCTAGCATTCCAGAGGCAGAGATCCATCTGGATCTCTGTGAGTTCAAGGCCACAACGGAAACAGCCAGGCATGATGACACACACCTTTAATCCCAGCACTTCAGATCTCATGTATTGCTTGGGAAAGATACACACCTTTAATCCCAGGAAGTGATGACAGAAAGCTATAAGGCATGAGGACCAGGAACTAGAGGCTTTTTTTAAGCTTTTAGGCTTTTTAGCAGTTCAGCTGAGATCCATTGGGATTTGGCTGAGAAGTTGGCGAGGTAAGGTTAGCTGTGGCTTGTTCTGTTTCTCTGATCTTTCAGTGTTCACCCCCCTCCCACAAAAAAAAAAAAAAAAAAAAGAGTACTGGCTGCTCTTCCAAAAGACCCCGGTTCAATTCCTAGCATCCACATCACAGCTCACAACAGTCTGCAACTCCAGTTCCAGGGGATCTGGTACCCTCACAGACATACATGCAGGCAAAATGCCATTGCACATAAAAATAAATGTCTTTTTAAAAGAGAAAATAATTTTTTTTTCCATTTAAAAGTTTATTTTAGCTGGGTGGTAGTGGCACATGACTTTAATCCTAACACTCAGGAGGCAGAGGCAGGTAGATCTGAGTTCTGAGCCAGCCAGAGCTACACAGAGAAACCCTGTCGGGGTGGTGGGGTGTGTGTGTTATAGTTGTGGAGGTACCACAGTGGTACAACACTTATCTAACGTGCTATACCTGAGGTTCAAAATACAAGCATACCAAGTTTGAGGGCGGGTATTTAAAACAGTGCTACCAAGATGACTCAGCCAATAAAGTCTGACCACCTACTTACCTACCTGAATCTGACGCCTAAACTCATGTGGTAGAGATACCCAACTCCTCCAAGTAGCCCTCTAGCCTCAAATGCTCTTTAAGTCTCCCACCACCCACCAAAAAAAAAAACAAAAAAAAACGAAAAACAAAAAACAAAACACCACACACACAAGAAGGGAGTGGAAACCTTGTCTTCATTTTTCTCTTAACTCATTCAAGTCTCTTTTACAAGCACCACTTGATTGTAAGAACAGAAACATTTAGTTATACATGGTGTGTGGATTTTCCTAAGATGCTGAAGTCTTACAGTAAGCAGGCTATGAAATACAAAAGCAAACAAAAACACCCCAGACCAAACAATGTTTGCAAAGCACCTGTCTTTTCAAGTGTCCCAAGAGTCGCCCAAAGGAAAGCCAAGGTTATAACACCCAAGGTTTTTCATTTTCTTGATATGCTTTCTCTAGTCACTTCAAAAGAAATGCACCCCAAGACGGGTTATCTTTCAGTATGTTAACTTGGTCATCAAAACTCGAAAGGAATGTGTTTCTCTAATGAAACAACAAACAAACAAACTATTTCAATTTGTATGGTACATGAGGGTAAAGCATCTAATTTTATTTCCCAATCAATGCCACACCTAGATGCTAACAAACTAACTGAAACACGGGAGAAATCAGGAAAGAAGCAAGACACCATGTTTCTGGTTAGATGTCTAGACTGCAGGCAAACCCCAAATACCAAAGAAGCATCCATGTGTCAAACCAGCATAATTTTTGAGCTATGCCTGGAGCCACATACCAAAAAAAAGTTAGCTTGAAAAAAAAGTCTAAGAGGGGTAACTCGAAGGTCAACCCCGTTCCCAGGACTTGTGAAACTAGCAGTGTCGTACCCTAGCAACTTCTCCCAGCATCCTTTTGCTATCTTTGAAAGACGCTACTCCCCAACTCAGGAATCTTCAAGGTCATGTCTGAGATTTATCTGTGTCCTGCATTTCTTAAAGGACAAAACATCCTCCGAAATCATCCTCTGAATACTTCACACGCTTTTAGCCTTTGCCCCGACTCAAAAGCGAATCCCAGACTTTCATTTAGAATGGGCAATTTAAACGTGTTCAGTTTGCAGCACAGATCACTAAAAATTATTTTCAAGTGTGGCAAACTTCAGTTCAAAAGCAGGTGCTTTCAGTACCCTGCTAATAACAAGTTTTACGTCCACCTCTTACTAAAAGAAGGCAAAAGTTGCCTCAATCTTTAGAAAACATGACAGGGCGAAGAGTCGACTAGGAACGAACTCCTAACATTGGGGGGGGGGGGATCACGAGCATCTGCCTCCGAAGTCATTCATCACCTGCAGTAATGAAAGGTGAGAATAAAATAAAAACAAGAGGCGGGCTGGGGTGCTAGTGACCGGAACAAACTGCACCGCGTCTAAAAGCCGCCCTGCCAAACCTGCGCTACGCTTCGCAGCTCGCCCCACGTGTAAACACACAAAGGCGGCACGGCACGCACCCCTAGTTCCTCAGTCACTACTTCCCGGAGCACCGAAACTTCCCCGCGTGTAGTCGGAGGTCCTGGGGGAGGGTGCAGAACTCCACTCCTCGAAGGAGCGCAGCGCTCGGGGCTCCCAGGCCCCACGCGCCGCCCGCCGCCCTCACCTGCGCTGAACAACGGCCCCGCGCCCCGCCGGCGCCGCCCGAAGGCCGCGCCTCCGCTCCCGGGCCGCTCCGCACGCTCGGCCTGACGTAATTCAAACATGGCAACAGTTCCACTTCAAAGGCGGATGCACGGACCTCCCAGACGCGGCCTCCCTGCCTCGGAGCTCGGGCCACGCGTGCGCCCCGCCGAGCGGCGCTCCGCCGCGCCGCGCCGGTGACCCGCAAGCCGAGGTGCCCCCACGGACACGGCCTCGCCGCGCCGCTGCGGAAGTTTCCGAGAGGACCTGAGGGACAAAAGCCGCCCCGCGCCCCGCCCGGCCCGCACCGCTCGGGCACACGCGGCCCTTTGTTGTCCGGCGGCGTCGGGGCGACAGGGACCCGCGCGCGGGGCCCCAGGAGAGGTCGGGTGCCCTCGGCTGCCAGCCCCCGGGGCCAAACTTTTGCCGAGTCCCCGATCAGAGACGCCCGGAGGTCTCCGCCGCGCGTATGCTGCGAGTTGGCGACTTTCGCTGGGCTTTGGAAACTGGCAAGACGCCATCACCAGGAAATCACATTGTCCTGCTCCCGACAGCCCCGACGGCGACCGCAGCTCACTCGGAGCCGGACACTCGGACGCAGACCGGCCGCGGCCCTGAGCACGTGGCTTGTCAGGTGGAGCACACACACACACAAAAAAAAAAGGGAGGAAAAAAGAGAGAGAGTTGGGTGCCTCCTGCAGTGGACTGCGCCCCCGCCTCCATCCAAACGGCTTGGCTCTGCGGGCCACGGCCACCCCTCGCGTGACGCCCGCACCCACGCTACAGGTGACCAGACCGGCGGCGAACTTTGGGCTGCGGAGACCGCTCGGCGCCGGCCGAGTGCAGAGACCGCGTGCTGCGCGCTCATTGTCGCAGACGCGTCCCTGCGGACTTCGCCAACAACGCCACGCCGCGTGCGCCGCGCAACCCCGGCGCTGGCCCTCACCGGCTGTCTTTAGCCCGTGTGGCCGCCGGCTCCAGGTAGTGGCAAGTTAGTTTACGAGCTCTGGCTTTGTTGTGCACCCGCGTGCAAACCATCGCCAGCGCCGCGGGAGTGCAACACGCGGGTGCTCGCGGCGCACGAGACCACAGCCGGAGCCCACAGGGGTTCCGCGACCCCGACTCAGCTCTCTGGGTCGGCGGGGAACACAACAACTGAGAAAAGTCATTGTCACCTTCAGCGTGGATGCAACTCCGCCGCTACTCGTTCGCTTCCACGCTGCACTCACTTTCCCCACACCCTGACTTTCGGTTTACCTCAAATACCCTCCCCAATTAAGAAGCGCACATCCAACACCTCTGTACAAAGGAATCTGGAGTCCGTAGAGCACGAGGACAGCGCTCCTCGCAATGCCATCTCCAAGACAAAACTTCCTGTGTGTTTGTGTATGGGAAGGACGGAGGAGGCGGGGGAGGTAAAGGGAGGAAAGAAAAAACGCAGAAAGCGGAGCCTCGGAGACAGTTTTGTACCGGTGTCCCGACTAGGATCACTCACCTTCCACGCGCAGCAGCGTCCCCACGGTGCGGACTGCACCAGGCCAACCCCCTGCAAGCACTCCCTCCGCCTGCGCCGAGTCCAGAAAGATTGTCTCCTGCAGTTCTTCGGTTGCTACCGCGGACGGAGGTGTAGATTCCGCTTTCCCTCTGCGCACGCGCAGCTCCCGGGACCAAATTCTCTTGAATTGAGCTGATTTGCATACGGGCGCGTGCGCGTCGCGGGCTGGGCGGGGAGAGGGCAGGGCGTCCGCGCGCGCTCCCGCGGCCTCTATTGTCCTTTTAAGGGGAGAAGCCGCGCGGCGCGGGAAACGCGGCGGCCCGCGGGGACGGGGGCGGGGCCTGCCTACTACGCAAAGTCACGTAAACAAACGCCCCGGGGTGGGAGCCGACGCGGGGGCGTGGCAGGGCGTGAAAGACGTAAAGGTGAGCGGTTCTCCTCCGCCAACCGCACCCCTTTAGGACCCTGCTAAGCTCGGAAAGTTCTGGAAGGTACTTTTGCAGCATTCGGGCACCTATGCCCAGTTTCTAGCTTGAGGTGACAGAGAAGGTTGTCTTGGAGGCACCCACTTAATTTAAGGTTTTCCTCACCTTTCCAAACCTTCTGTTTGAAGGTGAGATTTACGTTTTGTCTTTAAATCTTTAAGTATTTCCAAGACCACCTGACGGTGAGAACCGACTTCTGCAGATTCACTTCCACATGCACAGACACAAAATAAAATGTCAGTTCTCCAGCAGAGGTTTCGTTCTTGTAGTTTCAACGAGTCCTTTAATAAAGTCCCATTTTGACACTGTCCATTTACCCTTCTCAAACATGTCTGTTTTGCTTTGCTCACTTGGAACTAAGCTTTCAAGCCTCTGCAAACCGATGGTGGTAATTAGTGTGGGAATGGTAACACTTTCTGAAAAGACCCAAGTCCTCCAGTCATGAAGAGCTTCTCTCCCCAGCAAAACCGCTTGAGAAGGGAGAAAGCGGAAGCAAAATACACACTGTTCCTTGTGGACTATATGGTGATCTAACATCTAAATGTTCCTGAAAAAAGTAAAAAGAGAGACAATTCTACAAGAAAGGGAATAATCTATAGAAAACAAAGGGAGGTTCCAGAGAACGACGTGGGAGGAGAAAAGGAGAATGATCCTGAAGTAACTTTTCAGGTGAAAAAGTAGGAAATAAAGATGATTGTGATACTCCTTTTAGCCCAGCGACCCACAACACCTGGTTGTGTTTCTGGGAGGATAGGGAGAAGATGGAGAAAACGGTGTTTTTTTCCAGAACTTGATATTGGTCCCTTGCTGCGAAGTGTGGAAATAACTGTAAAACTATCTTTGCTGGCAACTTTCACTGCTTTCGCTGAAGGACCAACAACACAGATTCAAAGAAATACTTTAATTCAACAGCCAATTCCTAGAACCTACTTGTGAAGACCACAGTTTTGTTTTTTTTTTAAAGATTTATTTATTATGTATACAGAATATGTGACTACAGGCCAGAAGAGGGCACTAGATCTCATTACAGATGTTGTGAGCCACCATGTAGTTGCTAGGAATTGAACTCAGGACCTCTGGAAGAGGAGTCAGTGCTCTTAACTGCTGAGCCATCTCTCCAGCCCAAGACCACAGTTGTTTTTTTTTGTTTGTTTTTTGTTTTTGTTTTTGTTTTTGTTTTTTTGGTTTTTCGAGACAGGGTTTCTCTGTGTAGCTTTGCGCCTTTCCTGGAACTTATTTGGTAGCCCAGGCTGGCCTTGAACTCACAGAGATCCGCCTGGCTCTGCCTTCCGAGTGCTGGGATTAAAGGCATGAGCCACCGCCGCCCGGCATAGACCACAGTTTTTTAAAGCGTTCTATAATCCTCTTCCTGTAAGAAGGGGAGAAATATAAAATACAACTACTTAAAGCAAAGGTTTGTATCCCAATGGCTAAAACAATGCCTGTCACATAATGGATTTTTTTTGGGGGGGGAGGGGGTTGAGACAAGTTTTCTCTATGTAACCTTTGCTGTCCTGGAACTCACTCCTAGGTAAACCAGGTGGGCCCCAAACTCAGAAATCTACCTGCCTCTGCCTCCCAAGTGCCAGGATTAAAGGTGTGTGCCGCCGCCGCCGCCGCCGCCGCCGCCGCCGCCACCACCACCACCACCACCACCACCACCACCACCACCACCAGGCTAACAGTTCGTTTGTTTTTCTTCTCTGCGTAGCCCTGGCCATCCTGGAACTTGAAGGTCCACCTGCCTCTGGAGTGCTGGGATTAAAGGCATGCGCCACCACTACCCAGCTATAAAACAGTCCTAAGATATCTTTTAATGACCACCTGCTATTTTTTTTTTAACATACAGGTGCATTCCAAAGGTACTTCTTTGTTTTTTGTTTGAACATGTTATAACTGGCCCTACCCATGGCTAATAGTTCATTTATGAGCTACCTTTAAAATACTATTACCTAAACACCCTAAATGGATTTTTAATCATGAAGAAAGGAAGAAATAGTTCATGATTATGTATAAATTTTGATAAGTGATTGAATTGCTCAATGCTAGGGAAATGCCTGAGTATTTTTAATGGCTATAATGCCATGTTGAACTTATAATGAGTTCTCAAAAAAATTTTTTTTGGTTAATTAGATAGATAGTACGGTTAAGCCAGTTACTTTGGTTATAATGTACTGTTCTTGCTATCAAATAGCCTTAAATATGTAAGTATTTGTGTTTGTTTAGCCAACATTTAATGAACATACTTATATGCCAGATAGTGAAATTATTTCACCACTAGATGGTTCAGACTTGCTCAACCCTTCTAATTTGTTTCTATATACTTTTGTTGGTTTTTCTTTTATAGAATTTATTCTTTTATATTTAGTTGTTAATTACTTTGATTTTTTAATATTCTTGAAATTCAAGTTATATAAAAAGTTGAAAAGGTTAAATTTTTTCTGATTGTGAAGGATATTATTTGCAACCTAGTAGTATTCATAATGACAATTATATGACATCGATAATGACAAAAATCAATGATTGCTTTCTAATAGCTTTCATTTGAATTTCACTCATTAATCCCACAAATTTTTTTTTTTTTTTTTTTTTTTTTGGTTTTTCGAGACAGGGCTTCTCTGTGTAGTTTTGGTGCCTGTCCTAGATCTCATTCTGTAGACCAGGCTGGCCTCGAACTCACAGAGATCCACCTGCCTCTGCCTCCCAAGTCCTGGGATTAAAGGCATGAGCCACCACCGCCCGGCCCCTCCAATGTCTCTTGAGCACCTGCTACATGAAGGGAACACTTGGAAGAGACACTGGCAATACAACATTAAAGAAGACATTTAAAGTTGATGTCCTCCTAGAGGTTACAGTGTACTGAAGGAAAAAAAGCTGGTATTTATGTATTTTGTTTGTACCTCTCTATAGAGAATGATTGTCTATAAAAATTAAAAACGGCAAAGTTTTCCATTAATAGTTGAACTTACATGTATGTTACCTTTGTTACCTTTGTGTATGTGCATGGATGTGCACATGTGTACTTGTCTGTGTGAACACCAGGATGTGTTACCTCAGTTGTGCCTTCGCCTTACATATCTGAGACAGGGTCTGTCACCGAGCCTGAAGCTCACCATTTCCACTAGCTTGGCTGGTCAGTGAGGCCTCGGGATCCTCTTGTTTGACCCTGCTACCAGGGGTTATAGATGGGCACAAGTACTAGAGACCTGAACTCAGGTCCTAATGCTTGCACAATCATCTCCCCAGCCCACTAGTTTAATTTAACATTTAAATGATGGAATAAATGAATTTTTAAAGTAAATTTAAATAAATAAATAAATAAATAAATAAATAAATAAATAATGTATTTAAATGAAGGAATAACTTAGTAACCCAGTCTCAAGCATTATGTCATTCTGAACAAAACAGACTAAGAAGCCAGTGCGGTGATACATATCTGTAAACGGTTATGCCCAGATCACAGGGACCCTCCAAAAGACCACCACTGAGACCAAATCCCACATATAAAAGCAAAGAGCCTTTATTTCAAGCTCTGGAGCTTGGTTCCTCTGTCCGACAAAGCAGTGAGAACAGAGAGCCCTGAACTCAGGTGGGGCAGAGTTTTTATCATAGCAGAGGTAGGGGTATCTGTAAAACAAAAAATAGGTGTGTGCTGGACTCAAGGACATCTGGCCATCTTACCTAATGGTTGGGATGTGTGGGATGTCAGGTACTTCCTCACCCCTGGGTAGATTGCTGGGTGGTGTCAGCTTAAGGCTTTTCCTGGATCTGGGTGTTGCCTGCCAGTAAGCCTGTCACAGAAGCTGTGTCTAGGCCCCTAAGCCTGTCATGGCTGCTGTGTGGTCAAGCTGTTTTGGGGCCCCTCCACATAATCTAGCTACTCTGGAGTTTAAGGCAAGAGAATAACAAGTTTGAGGCCACCTTGGGCAATGTAGCAAGACTCTGTCTCAAAATTAAAAGAGACTGAGTGAGCTGGGCAGTGATGACACATGCCTTTACTCCTGGCACTCAGGAGGCAGAGCAGTTGGATCTCTGTGAGTTCAAAGCCAGCTTGGTCTGATCCACAGATCAAGTTCCAGGATAGGCTCCAAAGCTACACAGAAACCCAGTGGGGGGGGGGGGGAGGCAACTGAGTGTAGTGGGTGGCTGTTCTATGACCTTGAAGCATCACCCTGGAGAGGCAGCAGGTGACTGCTCCACCTGCCTATGACCTTTAAGTACATGCCCCTGGGGCGTGGGCTCTAGGCGACCCTAAGATCTGAGATACACATAGGCACCGTCCTACCTTGTGAGACTTGGATGCGGGACTGATTCAGGCGGCCAGAACAGCATTCCAGAACCTTTGTCAATTCTGTTCCATACAGTGAGTTTTTCCCCTTAATAAATTCTTTGCCCTTTAAACAAACTCTGTGGATTTCTTGTTATAGCTGAGTGAGGGTGAGTGAGGGTGAACCTCAGTAGAAAAGTACTTGCCCAGCATACATAAATTCAATTTCCCATACTGAAAAAAAGAGAAAAAGCAGAATCAACTAAGACTGTTCATCAGTGAGTAACTGTAAGACTAAAGAAATACCTTTTTTAACCTCATATAAGCAATTATAGTACTTTGTTACTTATTAAGTCTCTTGGATGTCCAAATATCAAGGAATCAGAGCAAGTCAAATAATTTTACACTCTGAGGTACAGCAGATGGTTATAGCCCACCCAACACTAGTACTGGGAAACAAACACTGTTCTTTCGTAAGAGTAGTATGTGCTCCTAACCACAGAGCCATCTCACCCG